AGCATGCACAGAGCGTTTCTGGAGATTCTCGTCGCCGCGGCTGGGCGCAGCTCGACCATGCGGCCAGGATGACCTCGGGAGGGGGGCAGATGGACCGATCGGCGTAGGGATCGCCACGGGTGGACGCAGCTCGAAACTTGGCCAGTCTTGGGATGGGTTTTGCTACCGATCATGAAGGCACAATGGTCCAGAAGGGGGGAGGTCCTGAGGTCTTCCTGCATTTTCCGTCTCCCAGCGCCCTTCCCAGGCACCGCGAGCGTGAGACAGCAGCAGCTCAAGATGAGAAATCCACCGTGGGGAAGGCCCGGGGCCCAGGACCGTTCAGGACCTAACCATTTCATGGCATGTTTCGGGGTGAGAAGCTCGGGGGTGGACAGACCTCCTAACAGTGACACGTCGATTAGTGAATTGTCCGTTTTCGGTTCTCGAGAGGGCGCCGCGGCCGCTATGTTCCAGGCTTGCGCCCGCCAGGTTTGGGCCCGAGGTCGTTTTCACTAAACCACGTTTTACTAAAGGGGGGGATGTCCATCCCCGAGAAGTGCCAGATGCAAGCAAGCTGACGGCAAGGTGAGCTACGAACAGTCATGCAATGCCCGAGTACTGTACAGGCGAATTGGTGATGTGTATGCCCTTCGTTGGGATCGAAGCACACCAGGCGCTCTTTTGGGCCAAGTTCTGGCCACGGATCATTCGTGCGTTCGATCGCTTTTTTTTTCTCCAACCTTCTGGAGAGAGTCCCTTTAAGAATTCCCCCTTGGAATCCACGTGGTGCCATCCCGAGACAACTTGGTTCCGCGCCGGGTGAATTCTAGCGGAAGCCTTGCTACGAGATCCACGCGGGCCCACTGGCAAGATGTGGACTCAGAGAGTACCAAGACGCGTGGAGAGGTTTCTTGCAGAGTCTTACGGGCCGAAGCTGAGCGCACGATGGCCTCCAGATGGCCTCCCAAAAGTGTTGAAACTGTATGCCAACCAACCATTTTTGTAGTTCCCTTCGCCCTCGGGCGCTTGTCCAATCGCCACGCCTTCACTGAACCTCGGGGGGGCCTTCGAGGCTCCAAGCAAGTCGAATCAAGGCCCCCAGGTGCCCCCCAAGAGCCTGGCATCGCTCGGACGTGTGCAGTTTTCCTTCGGCGGGGACCATCGAGGAGCATCCTTGATCATTTCGCGAAGAAAAACCGCGCACGAGACCGAAAAAAGCACAGGGAATGGACGTCCGAGCGATGGCGAGAGAGAGCACCAGCCCCCCGGGACGGCCCCACGATGCGTCCTAGAAGGCCCGAGGGACTCTCAGGGGCGCCCCTGAACCTCGGGGGGGCCTTCGAGGCTCCAAGCAAGTCGAATCAAGGCCCCCAGATGCCCCCCAAGAGAGCACCAGCCCCCCAGGGCGGCCCCAAGCTGTGTCCCAGAAGGCCCGAGGGACGCTCGGGAGCGCCCCGGGAGGCCCCGCGAGGCCCTCGCAAGGGGGGCCCCAGTCGCCGCCAAGAGACCCTGCGCTTGAGGCCCTCGAGAGGGCCCCGACGGGCCCAGGACGACCTGAGGACCCCCCAAATACCCGCAGAGGGGCCCGAAGGCCCGTCAAGAGGGGCCCCCCGTCAAGGGGGACCCAAAGGCCCGTCAAGAGGGCCCGACGAGCCCAGGACGACCTAAGTCACCACCCACTGAACCACCCCAACCCAACCCGACGGCTCAGATTTACCCTCGATTTCTAGTGGGGGGGAGGTCCGGGAACATCGAAAGAACACATATGGAGCCCATACCACCCCCCAACCCGAAATTCGGGTTTTCGGGTTGGTTGGGGTGGTCTGGTAGGTAGTCACTAAGGACCCCCAAAATACCCGCAGAGGGACCCAAAGGCCCGTCAAGAGGGGCCCCCAGTAGGCCAAAGAGGCCGTCCGAGGCTCCAAGACGCTCAACACGGGAACCAGCATGATACGTGTTTCTTCTCCCGGTCTCGGGCCCTCATTTTGTTGTCCTCTTTTTCTTCGCCCTGCAGGTTATTCGCATCTTCTTCCCCGTGCCACGCACGCACAAATACGTTCTACGGTCGGGATCCGTTGCTCCATCAGGTTCTGAATTTGCTCCAACAGAGTTCGTTCGTTCAGAGGCTTCGTTGTGATTCGAGAAGGGCAGTAAGGTCAGCCAGCGCGCGTTCGCAAACGATACACAGGGATGTGGATTTTAGACGGCCGCACGAAAGCGATCGATGAGGACCCCAGGTGTGCCTTTGACCTGGACGTGGTAGAGTTCAGGAGGACGCCCTCGTGAGGGGTGGGGAGGTTGCTTGGGGCGTGCGCTTCTGGGCCGCCCATACAGTCGGGGCCCTGAAGAAGGAACCCTTTTCGTTTGGGAGGGGCTCCGCGTTCCTTAAGTGTTTCACAGCTTGCCCCACGTTTTCCTTAGGTTTTCGAAGGGAAGTCGAAGTTCAACTTCTGGAGAAAAGGGGCCTCGTTCCTTATTTAGGGTTCCTTAGGTCAGCGCCCCGACTGTATGAGGCCTC